AAGAGGGAGGAGGGAGGAAGGAAGGAAGGAAGGAATTGAGGAAAATCTATAGTAACTCTGGAAGCAGTCTAAGGTCTAAAGCAACCAAGAAAATTCCAATCAAGATAAAGCCAAAAATATAGAAAAATTTGTAGCTGTTTTTGCTCGCCCTTACCCTACTCCTTCCCTGGCATGGCACAGTCTTGTGCTGAAGATGGCAGCTGCTGAGTTCCCAATTCCCTCCCTTAAACTGAAGGGAGCAGAGGAGACCATATTTTCAATATTACAAACTATTTCAATACTACAAACTGTCTTAGAAGTTCCTGAAGGACTTGTCTCAATTTACCTAATTTAAATCTCAGATGGAGAGAAGCAATTGACACTATTCAGGACAGCTGTAGGAAAACTAAGACTTTAAACAACTGGGGCAAGATATTATGGGTGAAGACATACAGTAGGCCATCTAAGGCCCCAAAGAAATACTTGCATGAGACAATTTGGAGGAATAAGACTTAAAAACATCCATGAATGTGGGAAATCAAAAAAGCCACACAGAGGCCCTGGAAAGAGGCATGTCACAAAAATAGCAGAAGACCATAAGCTTTAGCCATAGGCTCATCCCGAGGCTCAGAGAGTACCCAACAAATTAGTAAAAGACTAGCCCTGCACAAAACCCATCTAAAAACAATGGGAGAAGTGATTGTTTTATATTTTAAAAAATCACAAGATATAAAAAGAAACAGGAAAACGTATTTCATTTAAAGGAAGAAAATGAAGTGACAGATATTATTTTTAAATGACTATACTAAATATGCTGAAGAAGCTAAATGAAAACATGAATAAAGAATGAAAGGAAATTAGAAAAATGACATGAACAAAATGAGAATGTCAACAGAGAGATGGCAATTTTAAATAGTAATCAGAACAAACTGTGGTGCTGAAAAATACAATACAGGCATACCTCATTTCATTGTGCTGTACTTTATTGCAATTTATAGAAGGTGTGCCTTTTTTACAAACTGAAGGTTTGTGGCAACCCTGCATTGAGCAAAGCTAATGGCACCATTTTCCCGGTAGCATTTGCTTACTTTGTGTCTATCACATTTTTGGTAATTTTCACACTATTTCTTGCTTTTTCATTATTATATTTGTTACAGTGATCTGCGATCAGTGACCTTTGATGTTACAAGTGCAATTGTTTGGGGTGCCTTGAACCATGCCCACATAAGATGGAGAATGTAATTGATAAATGTCATGTGTGTTCTGACTGTCCACTGGACTGTTTCCCCACCTCACTCCCTCTCCTCAAGTCTCCGTTCCCTGAGACACAACAATATTTGAATTCCTAAAATTAACCTTAGAATGGCCTCTCTGTGTTCAAGTGAAAGGAAGAGTCTCACATCTCTCACTTTAAATCAAAAGTTAAAAATAATTGAGTGAGAAAGGCACATTAAAAGCTGAGATAGGTCAAAGGCTAGGCTTCTTGTGCCAAAGAGTTAGTTGAGCTGTGAATGCAAAAGACAAGTTATTGAAGGCAATTAAAGTGCTAGTCAAGTGAACACATGAATGTCAAGAAAGCAGTATAGCTTTCTTGTGAATATGGAAAAAGTTTTAGTGGTCTGGAGAGAAGATCAAACACTCCACACCATTCCCCTAAGCCAAAGCCTAATCTAGAGCAAGAACCTAACTCACTCTCAATTCTGTGAAGTCTGAGAGAGGCGAGGCAATTGCAGAAAAACAGTTTGAAGCTAGAAGAGGTTGGTTAATAAGGATTAAGAAGCAATTTCCATAACATCAAAGTACATGGTAAAGCAGCAAGTGCTGATGTAGAAGTGACAGCAAGTTAGCCAGAAGATCTAGCTAAGATAACTGATAAAGGTGGCTACACTAAACAGACTTTCAGTGTAGATAAAGCAGCCTTATACTGGAAGAAGATGACATCTAGGACTTTCATAGCTAGAGAAGAGAAGTCAACGCATTGCTTCAAAGCATCAAAGAACAATCTGACTCTCTTGTTAGGTGCTAATGCAGTTGATGACTTTAAATTAAAGCCAATGTTCATTTACCATTCCAAAAATCCTGGGGCCCTTAGGAATCATGTTAAATCTACTCTACCTTTGCTCTATAAATGGCACAATGAAGCCTGATGGCAGCACATCTGTTTACAACATGGTTTACTGAATCTTTTAAGCCCCCTGTTGAGACTTACTGCTCAGAAGAAAAGATTTCTTTTAAAATAGTACTGCTCATTGACAGTGCACCTGGACACCCAAGAGCTCTCATGATGTACAATGAGATTGTTTGTTTGTTTTCATGCTTGATAACACAACATCCATTATGCAGCCCACAGATAAAATCTTATTAAAGAAATACATTTTTATAAGGCTATAGCTCTCATAATAGTGTCATGATAGCTATAGCTGTCATAATAGACTCATCCTCTGATGGATCTAGGAAAAGTAAGTTGAAAACCTTCTGGAAAGGACTCACCAGTCTAGATGCCAATAAGAAAATTTGTGAATCATGGAAAGAGGCCAAAATATCAACATTAATAGAAGTTTGAAAGAACTTGATTCCAACCCTTGTGGACAACTGAAGGGTTCAAGATTCCAGTGGGGGAAACAACTGGAGATATGGTGAAAATAGCAAGAGAAATAGAATTAGAAGTGGAGTCTGAAGATGTGACTGGTTTGCTGCAATCTCATGATAAAATTTTAATTGATGAGGAGTTGCTGCTTATGATTGGGCAAAGAAATTGGTTTGTTGAAATGAAATACATTCCTAGTGAAGATGTTGTAACGATTGTTGAAATGACAACAAGGGATTTAGACTATTATGTAAACTTAGCTGATAAAGCAGCACAGGGTTGGAGAAGATTGACTCCAATCTTGAAAGAAGTGCTGTTGGTAAAATGCTATCAAATAGCATCACATGATGCAGAGAAATTGTTCATGAAAGAAAAAGTCAATCGGTGAAGCAATCTTTATTGTTATCTTATTTTTAAGAAATTGTCACAAACACCCCAACATTCAAAAATGACCATCCTAACCAGTAAGCAGCCATCAACATCAAGACAACACCTTTTACTATAAAAAAGATTATGACTTGCTGAAGACTCGGGTGATGGTTAGCATTTTTTAGCAATAAAGTATTTTTAATTAAAGTATGTGCATTTTTTTATTATTATGCAAAATAATAATCAGTTGCATTTCTTTACATCAGTGGTATTCATTTTAAAAAGGAAATTAAGTAAGCAGTTCCCCTTACAATAGCACCAAAAAGAATACTTAGGAATAAACTTAATCAAGGAGTTGAAAGACTTATACCTGAAAACTACAAAATACTGCTGAAAGATATTAAAGAAGGCACAAACCAATTGGAGGATATCCCATGTTCATGCAAGAAGACTTAATATTGTTAAGTGGTCAATACTATCCAAAGAAATCTGCAGATTCAGTACAATCCTATAAAATACCTATGTTTTTCGCATAAATAGAAACACTCATCCTAAAACTTATTATAGAATCTTTTTTCTTTCTTTAAATATATCTTTATTGATTTCAGAAAGAGGAAAGGAGAAGGAGAGAGATAGAAACATCAATGATGAGAGTCATTGATTGGCTACCTCCTGCACGTTCCACACTGGGGATCCAGCCAGCAACCCCGGCATGTTCCCTGACCAGGAATCAAACCCTGATTGATTGCCTGGATCCTAGGTTGACGCTCAACCACTGAGCCATGCCCGGCTGAGCTATTATAGAATCTTAAGGGACTACAAATAGCTAAAACAATCTTTAAAAAAGAAGAAAAATTTGAGCAACTACTTATTGATTTCAAACTTACTAAAAAAGGTACAAAATTCAAAACATTATAGGACTTACATAAAGACAGATATACAAACCAATGGAGAAGAATAAAGAATCCATAAATAAAGTTTTTCAGATAGGTCAAATTATTTTCAACAAGGTTGCCACAGAAATTCATACTAACTATCCACAGGCAAAAGAATGAACTTGGACCTTTAATTTATACTATATACAAAAATTAACTAAATAGGGATCCTAGACCTAAACATAAATCTAAAACTATAAAACTCCTAGAAAAAAAACAGGGTAATTGACATTTAATTTGGCAATAATTTCTTGGATGTGACACAAAAAACATAGGAAAAAAAAAATAGATAAACTGTACAATATCTAAATTAAATAAACTTTTGTGCATCAAAGGACTCAATCAACAAAGTTAAAGGCATCCCATGAGATGAGAGAAAATATCTACAAATCATATATCTAATTAAAAATTAATATCTAGAACATATAAAGAACTCCTAAAACTCAACAAGAAATAACAACTCAATTTTTTTTTAAATGGGCACAGGATGTGAATAGACATTTCTTTAAAGAAGATATATAAATGCCCAATAAGCATATGGAAATATGCTCAACATCACTAATAATTAAAGAAACAAAAATAAAAAATGATAATGAGGTACCACTTCAACCCATTAGAATAGCTATTAGAAAAAATAAAAAAGAATAAATGTTGGTGAGAATGTGGAGAATTTGTAATTCTTCTGCACTGATGGTGAGAATGTAAAGTAGTAAAGAAACAGTATAGAGTTCCCCCAAAATCAAACAGAATTACCATATGATCCAGAAATTTCCCTTCTAGGTATATAATCAAAACATTTGAAACAGACACCTGAACAGAAATTTGCACACCAATGATAATGACAGCATTATTTAAAACAGCCCAAAGGTGGAAATAAACCAAATGTCCAATGACAAATAAACGGATAAACAACATATGGTATAAACATAGAATGAAATACGATTCATCCTTAACATGGAATGAAATTTTGATACATGCAAAAACATGGATTAATTTGAAAATATTACACCAGATAAAATAAGTTGGACTCAAAAGGACAAATATTGTATGATCCCACTTGTGTGAGGTACCTAGAATACAGAAATTTATAGAGCCAGAAATTAAAATAGTGATTACCAGGGGCTATGGGAAGGAGTCACTGGGGAGTTATAGTTTGATGGGTACAGACTTTCTGTTTGGGATGATGAACATTTTCTGGAGATGAACAGTGATAATCATTGCACAAAAATGTGAATGTACTTGTGTCCCTGAACTGTACACTTAAAAATGGTTAAGGTGGTAAATGTTATGTTATGCATATTTTACCACAAAGATAGTATGTTGTATCCAGTGCTTTATAGACTAGGATAAGAAGTAACATCACTAAGCTCATGTTATGAGAACAATATAGTTGATCCTTGACCAACTCCAGGCTAAGGATGCTGACCCACTTGAGGTTGAAAAATAGAGCACAAGTAAAACTTTTGACTCTTCCAAAATTTGACTATAGTCAGCTCTTGGTACCCATGGAATTGGTTCCAAAATCCATGTATGCTCAAGTTCTTTATATAAAATGGCATAGGACAATTACCTTCTGCCCTCTATATCTGCAGTTTCCCAGCCCCGGATCAAATACACTGTTTTCAATCTACTATTAGTTGAATCCACAAATGGGAAACCCATGGATATGGAGAACTGACTGTACTTATTGAAAACAAATCTGAGTATAAGTGTAAGTCTGAGAATTGAAACAATATGTATGGATTCAATACCTCTTGCTATTTCTTTGTTGAAAAAAGGAATTTTGAAATTTCTTATGACAATGTGTTCATTCTAATCCAAATGGACATTTATATAGGAGTATGTAAAAAAGGGCACTCTAACTTGCAGAATACATAACAGTTTTAGAGCACTAACATGCAGTTAGCCTGATCATCTTTTTTTTAGAAGCAATATATGATATATATGAAGCCAACATTTTGTGGCCATCACTTGGATAACACCTTCCAAAATCTCTTCCCAGCCTCTCTATCTCTCTACCTTGGAACAGAAACTTTTCCAACATCATCATGTATTCTTTTTAAATGATAAACAGTAGCATGTCTTCAGACTGCTGAAATAGATGTCTATTTGCTAAATCACCTTGGTCATGAAGACGGTAGTAAAGTAGTGACTGCCTGATAGCCCTTTTTTTTCTCACTAACTATGGTGAGCAAAGATGGCATGCACCTTCCCCTCTCCCCTTAGCTCTTACAATAATTCTTCTTGCAATGTGGAGATAGTTGGTGTTCTATCAACCATCTTGAAAGCATAAAAAAGAGTATCACTGTACAAGAAAAGGATCTATAGCTGGAAAGTAGACTGAGTCTGGATCATTGATGACATAATGGAACCCCATAATGTCTAATGGACAATATCCACAATTTTTTTTATATGATAGGAAGGATACACCCTGCACTGTTTATGCCATTCTTGGTGGTTCTTGTTTCCTGTGCAGTTCCTAACTCATACAGTCTGTGGTAGGCTATTTAGAAATAATAGAAAGTTAAAAATTAAAGATAGTTTAGGCAATCATTTGGGAAATATTTTGCAAAGTTAATTTCATAAAAGCAATTTTGTTACCAAGTTTTTTAAATGACTGACTTTTGTGTGAGAATTTGGGGTGACAACTTTTAAAATTTGTATTCCTAATTTTTAAAATGAATATTAGTAAAGTTAGGTTGTAATAAGATCTTATTATATATGACAAATATTTCCATAAATATCAAGTAAAAATATATTAATTTTAAATATGTATACATTTATAATGATTTGCAATTACAATGTGAAAAATTGTGAGATTTCATTTATACCTGGTCATAACCAAAACAAAATTTTTAGTCTTCATTTACAACAAAATATCTTCTGCTTCCAAGTAAATTATATTTTGCCTTTTCTTCTATTCTTCATTAAGTAATTTAATATATTATGTTTCTTATTAGGCCAGAGAAACTTTGTAACTTAAAATCTAGATGTGAGAATAATTTAAATGAGCTTTGTTGTGTATTTATGCATATATACATCAGCGCCATGTATTTCATAGAGCAAAAAGCTAGGAAGACAGAAATGTTGATACAAATCCATATGTACTATGGAATAATAAAAATAGCAAAATCAGATAATACAATGGAATATTCTTGAAAAAAATATGTAGTTAGTATAGATAGATAAGTATTATATTGTCCCCCAAAATGTATACACAATGTCTGTAGATTTTATTAAATTGTGAAAATGAAATGTATTTTAATAAACACTGGCTTTATAATTATTCAAAATGTGTATACTTTTTTGGGAGACTATATATATATATAGAGAGAGAGAGAGAGAGAGAGATTTGATTGAATGTTCATAAAAATAGGAAGAATAGTTACACCTCATATATGTGCCTTCGAGTTTGTGTTTTCTCTATGCATTCTATATTATTTTCATCACTAAAATGGACATATATGATTTAACAGCTATTTTAAAGTATTTATATCGTAAGATAGATCACATTAGAATTACTCTGTGTAATATAATTTAACAAAATACAGTGAATAAATAATATAATTCTCAGATCAGTGAATATACCTAATTTCTAAGAAAAAAGCCAATAAAATATTCATGGTGATATCATCTATGCATGAATACAGATAATATATTATTTCTTTTAAAAATTTTTTATTATTTAAAAATTTTTCTATTTTCTTATTTTTGAAATTGAATGTACACTTACATTATGAGGAAAATACTAGCCATGCATTTAAAAATAAAGTATAAATTAGAAAGTCATTTGGGACTAAAATTTACATACCAGTTGCTCACCACAACTAGTTCCATCTTTTACCCACATCTTTGAGCTTTCTGGATGATCCCATTTATATTCCAATGAGACACAGAGATCCTTCGATAGTTTACTATAAATAACAGTGGCATCTTGAATTTGAAGTATATTTTCACCTTCATATTTGCATACTAATTTTCCACACCGCACATCTCTATAATTTACCAATAAATGAAGATCATTAGTTTTAAATACATAGAAATATTAGAATACCATTTCTAAAGCAAAAAGATTTAAAGCATTGAAGTTTTGAAAAAAGATGTATGCAATTAATTGTGAAACACCAAAAAAATGAGGGCCTTGCATGCATTGATAATAATAACTCAACATTTTAATAATTATGAACAACTTCCTAGTTAACCTGATAACTTTTCTGTAATGATTCTTTCATTTTTTATTCTTAGACATAATCAATTTCCAGTTTATTCTAGTCTAAAAAAATTATAAAGTTTATCTAATTATCAGTCTTATTTGATTTCCTTTTCAGTTTTTTGTGTGTTTTTAAAAAATATGTCTTTATTGATTTCGGAGGGAGAGGAAGGGAGATGGAGAAAGAGAGAAAGGCCAATGATGAGAGAGTCATTGACTGGCTACCTCCTGCATGCCCCCCACTGGGGATCGAGCCCACAACCCAGGTATGTGCTCTGACTGGGAATCAAATTTCGATCTCCTAGATCATAGGTCAGTGCTCAACCGCTGCTGAGTCATGCTGGCTGGCTGGGTCCTTTTCAGTTTTTTAAACAATGTCTACTCTCACCTTTATGTGTAAAGACTTTGAGACCCACATCAAAAAGTATTATATGCAATAATTATTAATATAAAACCACTAAAATACATCATAATGATAGAGCTATAAAGCACAAAAACTTATGAAAGTAACCATAAAATTTAAAAAAGCATTAATAACAAAAAATAATACAACTTATGATTGATTTTTCCAACAGAAATAATAGAGTTCAAAGGATTATTGAATGACAGATTCAAAGATGAAACAAACTGTCTACTGTCCATTTTATATGGAGAGAAAATATCTTTCAAAATGAAATGTGGCATTATCAGACAATAATTTAAAAAATTTGTCATCAGCAGTCCTGGTCTAAAGAAAATGTAGAGTGAGTTCTTCATATTGAAAGAAATTATTCTAGATGTAACCTGTATAAATACAAAATACATATAGCTTTAATATGATTGAGAAGTTTCCTTTCTATTCATAGTTAGATGAGAGTGTTTATCATGGGTCATTGTTAGATTTTGTGATAAATCAGACACAAAATAAAGAGAATTGTGAAGATAAATCTAAATGAGGGGACTGTGTGAAAGAGAACATATAGGTTAAGTCATCTCCTCCCTCAAGCAAGTATAAAACTGGGCAAATTTGTCCAAACAAGCATTTCAGAGCTATGAAAACTGATCAAAGACAAACAACAAATTGAGAAGCATTTATGAAAAGCTGCTATAAAATCAAGTAATAATAGTGAGAGGCTATGGTCTTCATGCCTGAGTCTGCTGCCATGCCCTCTCCCAGCTCAGTTGATGCTGTCATTTTATCAGGGCAGGCCTGACCATGAAAACCAATAGACTTAATGTCTCCTTGATTTGGTGCAGAGGACAGAAAAAAAAAATCTCACCCAGCAGAATTTTGGGCAAAGGAAGCAAACTTTTTAGGGAAAAATAGCATCACATTTAGCCTGAGGTGGAGGTTCCAGTTGGGGTTAGTGACAGACCAGCCAGAATTTAAAGGCATAACCCTAGAAATGATAGCTACAAAAAGAATGGTGATAAACTTTCCCTACATCACATTCCTAGTTGACCAGAAGGTTGTGTGCATGTGCTGAGGAGACTTGAGAAAGATTGATTGGAAGTAACACCAGAGGAAACTTTAAGTTTGCTTAAATCTAAATATGCTCCCAAATTCACAAACAGAGCCATCTCTCTCTCTTTCTTTCTCTCTCTCTCACACACACACACACAATGCCAGGTGACTTTAGTTATGAATTCTGGGACATATATAAAAAAATTAATGGTAATTCCATGCAGACGTCATAGAAAATGAGAAGGGTAAAACACTTTCCAACTCATTCTGTGAGGCAGGTTTTATCCTGATATCAGATCCAAGTCAATTCATCACAATATGATGAACATTGATACACAAATCCTGAACAAAATATTAGCAAATCAAATCTAGAATTATATAAGAATAATTACATGCCATAACTAAGTGGGAATTAGCCAAGAATGCAGGATTAGGTTAATATCTAAGATATTCTAATTCATCCAATATAAAAGGAAAAATGCTCAATCACAGAAAAAGCACCTCATAAAATCCAGGAGTGATCCATTATAAACATTCTCATCTAACCAGAAATAGAAAGGAACTTCCTCAATCTGATAGACCTGCATGTATAGTCTACTAGTAATATTATGGTTCAAGTTGTTCCTTTAATCAGGAATAAGACAAAACAATTCTGTTTTTATCACTTTTATGCAATGGAGCAAAGATTTTATAGGTATATATAAAAGCTATGATCTATAAAAACATAAATGAATAAATTGAACTTCATCAAAATTAAAATATTTTTCTCTCCAAAAGGTATCATTAAGGAAAGAAAGATAAAGGATAGTCAAAATAAAATATTTATAATTTATATATGGATGAAGATTATATTCTAAATACATAAACTACTTTTATAATTCAATAATAACAACAAAACCTAATTTAAAAATGGGCTACAGATTTCTCAAGATATTTCACCAAAGAAGATATGTAAATACTTAATAATCACATGAAAGAGTGGTCATTTCATAAATCAAGTAAATGCTAATTAAAACCAGAATAAGGTACCTATTTTGCATGGCAAAACAAAACAAAACAAAACAAGCAAGCAAAACAAAGTTGTGATAACACTAAATGTTGGTGAGGATGTAGAAAAGTTGGTGGAACTCTCATACATTATTAATGGAAATGTAAAGTGATACAGTCACTCTGGAAAATATTTGGGCAGTTTCTTAAAATATTAAACATATACTTGCCAAATGACCCAGCAATTCCACTTCTAACTGTGCATCCAAGTGAAATGGACAAAAAAAAACACACAACTATGATTAATACCTTAAAGTCTCTAAAGGCAAAAAATGTCAACATGAAAGATCAGAGAGAAAATATCAGCAGAGATATGGAAACTGTAAGGACCAACAATAAGACTCAAAAAAAAAAAAAATCTTCCAAGGACTTATCAATAACTCAATCAAAATGGCAGAAATAAGACTCAGTGAACTTAGTGATAGGTCAACAGAAACTTCCCAAAGTGAAACACAATTATAAAGAGTAGCAGAAAAAACAAACAAACAGAAAATCCAAGAACTCTGGAACAATATCATAAAGTGTAACATTCTCTTAATAAGAATAGCAAAAGGAAAAGAAAAATTGGGGCAGAAGGAATATTTAAAAGTTTATGGCCAAAATCTCTCCAAAATTATTGACAAACATGAAACCACAAATTCAAGAGAAACAGAGAATGACAAGCAGGATAAATCCCAAAACAGAAACCACCCACAAAAACATCATATTTCAACTAAAGAAAGCCAGCCAATGAGAAAATTTTGAAGGCCAACTATGTTGGGGGTACACTTTTCAGAGGACTAAGGATAAGAATTACAGCAGACTTTTCATTAAAACACACACACACACAAAAAAACACGTGCAATTAAGATTGTCAAGGGAATGCCCGGCCAGGCATGGCTCAGAGGTTGAGCGTCGACCTGGGATCCAGATGATCAGGGTTCGATTCCTGGTCAGGGCACATGCCCGGGTTGCGGGCTCGATCAATGACTCTCTCATCATTGATGTTTCTGTCTCTCTCTCTTCCTCTCTCTGAAATCAATAAAGATATAAAAAAAAAAAAAAAAAAAAAAAAGATTGTCAAGGGAAGTTTCAAGTGTTAAAAGAAAAACTGCTAACTAAGCATTCTGTGTCTAGTGAAAATATCCTCCAAAAGTTAGAAGTAAAAGTTTTCTCAAACAAAAATTAATAGAATTATTTGCCAGCAGATCTGACTTGCAGGAAATGTTATATGAAGTTCTTCAGACAAAATAAAAATTACATGGTCAGAAGCTGCATCTATATAAAGAAAGGAGTATCAGAAAATGAATAAATAAAAGAATAATAGTTTTAAATTTTTTATTCTTAACTACACTAAAATATAACTGTCTACTTAGAGCAATAATACAAAGAATGTATTGAATGTTTATTGAATATGTATAAGTAAAATGAATAACAATGATTTCACAAGATGCAGAAATTGGGATAATAGTAAACCTGCACTACACAGAAAGCAGTATACTGTTATTTGAGGGTGGGCTATTACTGTGTCATATGTTATTATTTGAAGATAACAATTATGAATCTCACTATACCAGTAATCACTTTTAATGGGAATGGTTTAAACAACCAATTAAAATCTAGACATTGTCAGAGTGAATAATGAAAATATGACCCAAAGTCGGTATACCACCTGAAAATTAATTAATGTAATATAATATATTAAGAGAATTATGGACAAAATCTATAGAATCATGTCAATAAGATGGATGAAAAACACTTGAAAAAAATGCAATCACCATGCAAGATTAAAAATTCTCAACAAAGAAGGAATTCAGAGAAACTCCCAATCAGATAAAAGACATCAACAAAAAAATCTATAGCTCCCAATAAACTTAACAGTGAAAGGTTGAATTTTTCCCATAAAATTGGGAATGAGTAAGTGTCACTTCTTTCTCCACTTATATTTCAACATTTTAATGATATATATACACAGTGTAATCAAGCAAGAAAAAACAATGAAAGTCTTCCCAATTAGAAAACAATATTAATCAAAACTTTATTTGCAGTTAATATGATCCTAAACATGGAAATGCTAAGAAATTCACATACCAAAAATCAATCAATCAATCAATCAATCAATCAATCAATCAATCAATAGTTTAGGAAGGTAACACAATATAAAAGATCAATATAAATTGCTATTTACATTTTCATTAAGGGAGCTGTGGTGCAACATGAAAAGTAACAATATTCACACCATAGGAGTGCCAGAGGAGGTCAAAAGTAAGCAAGGATTAGGGATACTGTTTGAAGAAATAATGGTAGAAAACTTCCCTAACCTGGTCAAGGAAAAAGTCACACAAATTCAGGAGACAAAGAGAGTCCCAAGCAAGAAGAATCCACAGAGGCCCACACCCAGACACATCATAATTAAAATGCCAAGAATTCAAGGCAAAGAGAGAATCTTAAAGGCAGCAAGAGAAAAGCAATGTGTTACCTACAAAGGAACCCCTATAAGGCTGTCAGCTGACTTCTCATCAGAAACTCTACAGGCCAGAAGGGAATGGCATGAAGTATTCAAGGTAATGCAAAACAAAGATCTCAAACCAAGACTACTCTATTCAGCAAGATTATCATTCAAGATAGATGGTGAAATAAAGAGATTTCCAGACAAAAAAAAAAAAAAAAGACCAAAGGAGTTTATCACCACCAAACCAGTATTGCAGGAAATGTTAAAGGAACTGCTATAGTTAGAAGTAGAAATACAGAGAAAGAGAAACATAGGTATAAAGAATTAAAATGGCAATAGATAAGTATCTATAAATAATAACTTTAAATGGAAATTGATTAAACGTCTCAATAAAAAGATATAGGGTGGCTGAATGGATAAGAAAACATGACCCAAATATATGCTGTCTACAAGAGACCCATCTCAGAACAAAAGGCTCACACAGGATGAGAGTGAAGAGATGGAAAAAAATTTTCCATGCAAATGGAAATGAATGAAAAGCTGGGGTAGCTCTACTCATATCAGACAAAATAGACTTCAAAATGAAGACCACAACGAGAGACAAGAAAGGTCATTACATAATACTAAAGGGATCAATCCAACAAAAGGATATAACCCTGGTAAACATATATGCATCCAACATAGGAGCACCTAAATTTATAAAAAAACTTCTAGAGGACTTTAAGGAGCAATCAATAGCAATACACTCATACTAGGGGACTTTAACACCCCACTGACTTCACTGGATAGGTCTTCCAGACAAAAAATCAACAAGGAATCAGTAAACCTAAATGACACACTAGTTCAGATGGATTTAACTGACATTTACAGAACATTCCACCCCAAAGCTGCAGAATATACATTCTTCTCAAGAGCACATGGGACATTCTCAAAGATAGACCACATGTTAGGACACAAAATAAGTCTCTACAAGTTTAAGAAGATTGAAATCATATAAAGCACCTTTTTGGACCACAATGGCATAAAATTAGAAATCAACTACAATAAAAACACTAAAAAACATACATTTTAATTATTGTTACAATATTGAATAATGTGAAAATGAAATTTAGCGGAGCATTCTATTCATAACAGTTTCAAAAATAGAACGTTTAGGAATGTATTTAATAAAATCAATGCAACATTTAACACTGAAAACTAATAAACTTGGCTGAAAAAATTATAAAGATTGTAGTAAATTGAGTCATTCCATATTTATCCATTGAAAACTCAAAATTGTTAAGATGACAATTCATTACACACATACACACACACACACACACACAAACACACACACACACACAAAACACCAATGCATTTAGAACTGATGAAATCTAAGGAGTATGATCTAAGAATTTACCAGTACTAATTCCCAGTTTTGATACTGTACTACTGATAAGCATAAGATGTTACCAGTTTGGGAAACCAGGTGAAGGGTACAGGAGGCCTCTGTATTCTCTCTTTATTATTTTTGCAAGTTCTGGTGAATCTACCATTAGTTCAGAATAAAAACGATACAAAGGTAAAACTCAGTGGAAGGAAGATTAAACTATTTCAAATATAATGGAAAACAATTTGAACAGACTCATCACACTGGAAGATACCACATTGATAAGAAAACTTAGAAAATGCTCAAAATAACTTTTAATTAGATGAATGCAAATTAAAACAAAAATAACTTACAACTGGAATGACTAAAATAAAACAGACTGACAATACCAAGTAGTAGCACATGGTGGAGAAACAAGAAATCAGGTTTTGCTAGTGTGAATATAAAATTGCATAGCCACTTTGGAAAACAATGTGTTAGTTTCTTTAAAAAGATTCATATGAACTTATAATTCATCAATTATAATTTTATGTATCTATCTACCCAACACAAATGAAACTGTATCTCACCATCAAGACCTGACCCTCCTTGAAGGTTTATAGCAGCTTTATTCATAATACCTCTAAATAATGTACCACATAATTGCCCATAAATAAGTGAATGGGTAAACTATTGTGCTGTGTTGTATATATCATTTTCAGTGATATTTAGAATTATTATTCAACAATAAAAAATAAAATGCTAACATGAGATTAATCTGTTTGAATCTCAAAAATTATCTTGGGTATATCAAGTATGACACAAAAAATGGAAACTATGAGTCCACTTACATAAAATTTTTGGACATACTATATTCATCTATCATCGTTGACATGAGAACACAGGCAGAGATTGGAGAGAACATGCTCATATGATAAAAATATTAATCAAGTTGTACACCTAAACTACATTCAATTGTTAGCTTATGTAAATCAAAAAAAATAAATTCAAGAAAACTGAAGACAAAAGACTCAAAGGAGTTTATATATACTCTATCTTTAGGATGCTATATTTATATCTGGGCTTTAAATAAAACTCTATAAGGGTAAAACAGTAGTGTTTTTAGGTATTTAAAATGAAAATTAAATTATGTAAAAAAATCATATGAAGTAGGAAGAGAAATTATTATTAATCCCATTTCACATACAAGTAACTGGCATTCAAAAGGGTAGTTTTCTTTTGCAAGACATATGGATAAGGAGTTGCAGTAAAGAATCTATAGCTATATACATGTTAGGTAGGAAACTATTTTATCTGATGAAAAGCAAGAGCAATAAACTGTTTAAATGCATTACTTATGTTTTTCTAAACTCCTAAATATTTGCGAGCATAAATTTAACACCTGTTTATCTTTTAATTGAATAATTTTAAAAGTAAGAACTCAAGGGTCAAAGTCACATTAATAAATGAAGTAAACAAATTATATACTGTGGTTATCACTATGTATATTATTTAAGGTATATGCAGTATTTTAACAAAATGTATATCTTCAAAATTATGTCTGATGGATTATTGTGGGCATCTGCTTATATAATGTGATACTATAAAATTTTTATTTAGCTCATTAATTCTTTTTGGGATCATAAAGGCTACCACACATCCATTGCTACAGCAGAGGATTCAACAAATTTTCGTGCACCAAAAGGGCAGGAGAGACTAACCCAGTCCAACTATATACTCTATAACATAGGACTCAGTATAAAATCTTAACAATGTTGAAAACGTAGATATGTTAGAGCAATTTTTTTGGGGGGGGGAGAGCAATTTTCTGATTTTTTCTGCCTTTGGGCAAAAGAGGGAAATGAAAAAGAGAAAAAGCAGCCTCTGACATTCAGGTGAAGGTCTGATATTAACAGCAAGGCCTTGAAGTTGATACAAGCTGAGTTGCGCCCATTGCTAGACCATGGTGTTTACCAGTTGAACACAAGCAATTATAAGAACATCAACTCTAGGTAAATCCATTCAGTGACCAGGCTGGATCAAGAAAAACACAAGCCCACACCATAAATCATGTCTGAACATAGGAAGACAAGAAATAAACATTGTCCAAGCAACAAAATTACCAAACAATCCTCTCATCCAGCTAATATGAGTGACTGTTTTATTACCAATTACATCTTAGTCTTCCTTCTTCATATATGATTTATTAAGATATCTGATCACAGAATTGCCTTCACTTCCTGAAAACATCCAATTCAGAGCAATGATCCACTTCCTGAAAACCTACTGAAAATCACTTAACACAAGCTCAAATCCTCTAAGTATCTATAACCCTGGAGGCTAAAATGTCTCACAGTTTCCCACAGTGTAGTCTCACTGACTGCAAGATGTAGGAAACCCAACTTGTTCAACTGAAGGTACATTTCTTGTGGTTTTTGGCTGGAAGGCATTAACACAGAACTTGACCTAGAAATCATTTACACAATTAAGAAGTGGGTTGAAGTGGATTCCAGTTAGAGTAGAATTCTGATTTAACATGAGTGGATGCGCGCCCCTGCACACACACACACAACACATACACTGAAGGCTTTGGAATGTAAACAGAAACAGAAGAATTATATGATAATTTAGCCTTAGGAATGGAAACTGCATATGAGACATTTTGGATTGTAGTTAGGATTTGAAGCGGTGATGTCTGGCTGTAGAGTAAATATTCTTAAACACAGTGCTTTACTACATCCTGGATAGTGAAAATTCACGCCTTTTCATTTTATCACTATAAGAATGGTCATCCTTTATAAAATTAAAGTGACAGCATGCAAAATAAAAATAATCAGTCCTTCTAACCAATGGATAATTAATGAGTCTATGTGTAAATTAAACAGTCCATGGGAAGGGACAAGGGGTAATTTGGATGTATGAGGGAAAAAAGCACAGATATTCTGTATGTCAAACATTTCTAATTTGATTAAATATAGCCTTACTTCATGACCAGGTGATATTTTTATTACATATAAACTTATGTTGTGGTATTTTCAAATTTAAGGCAACAAATAGAGTTTCTCAGGTAGATTTTGTAAAGCATACTTGGGTTCACACTTTTTGTATCCTGAAGCATTTGAACCACAGTTGCCCGATTCATCAGTCATAGAATTAAGGTATTGATAACACTCTGTAGTACCCGGCAGTGTACCTGGAAAAAAAAGTGTGGTTAGTCGTACTGAAGTTATATTAATTTTAAATAACTAACAAATACATTTAACATTTTAAAATAGTTTAACATATATTGCACAGGATAAGATTATAATATAAATTAAAAATAAAAGCTAGGTTTCAGATCACACAAAACCACTTCGATTAAATATTTAGAAGTTAAAAGCATTCTTTTACTATTGATATACCTTAGATATAAACATGGTACTCAGTTTATTTTTTAATTTTTAGTAAGTCTAGAAATACACATCTATAAGTATATAAGAAACTTTTAAAAAGTTGGCTTATTGGTCAATAATCTGTGTTTGCATCAATGTATTTCTAGTCAAGTCAGTCAACTAATATCTTCATAATTTCCTCAGACCAGAAAATCTTGAAGCCACAATTGATTCATCTTCACATTCACTATCCAATTCATACACACAATGTGTTTAATTCTCATAAAATACAACCTACTTACAAAGGCAGTTTACTTATAATCCTCCATCATCAGTTCTACTCTAGTTGAAGGATTAAGTCAAAACCCTTTGAAAGGAAGATTTAACCACTGTATTGTGATGCTGAAAAAAAATGACACACCAAAAGAGGGGCCCCAGTAGACACATCAGGATCTCAGTTGAAACTCCTAGAGGCAGTAGTGAACAGAAAATAAGCAGTTGATTTTGTCGAGAGGTCATTTGAAAACCTGGTATGGGTGGGAAGTCAAAAGTGTAAGCTTAGCAAGAGAAGTGGGCTATTGCTGGTGGATATAAAATAAGACAAAGTTGGAGATCTTTCATAACTATAGTGACAAAAATAGAGACTCAAGAGGCACTAACATACAGTTTAGTCCCCCCTCAAGGTTTGTTCTTGTTTCTAAACATGTAAAAAGCAGGAGGTTAAAATACAAAGAGATGACTTCCATAAAACAATGCAATGTTTTTCTGCACTTTCTGTGCTCTGGCAGCAAGGAGAGAAGTGTTGGTAAATATACCAAGTCTCAGGCGAAAACCCTGGAGAGTTATTCCCTGGAAACAAGAGTGTACTCCATGTGAACTGAGCCTTATCTAAACCCTAACCTTAACAATATCAGTTTCTGATTTAATTAAAGTGTGTACTCTCTCATTTCACATACCTAACAGAAGTAAAAGACACATGATAGTAATATCTATACAAGAGAAGCATTTAGACAGAAGGCAGGGCTCCTCAAAGTCAAAAATGAAAGACAAAGACAGTGAAAAACATTTTAACTAGAAATATGTCTTTATCTAAAAGACCATTCAAGAAAGAATATAAAATAAAAACATCTATATTTTAAAAATAATTGAGTAAGAGAACCATGGTACATATATATTAAACACACATCTAAAGGCTTACTGTAATCCTTTAGAGACCTCAGAGGGTGGGTGCACTCTTCCCAGCTTCAAAGTACCAGTATCTTCCAAAGGGATGTTTTACACAGGCCTGGTGCCATGATTTTTAGGTTGGGTGCTCTAGTTTTTGTGGCTGCTGCCCAGGGGATGCCCTTAAATCATCTAGCTCTGGTGGCAACAGGGGCTTTCATTCCTGGGTGCTATGGGATGGTAACAGAGAGAAAGTTCTTGGCTGGCTACCACCCCCAGGGCACTGAAGAGACACCATACCAAAGCACATGCTCAATATCTCTGTGAAAGAGAGACCTCTTTGCTGGAACTGGAGCTTTGGCTTGAAGTAAAGGCATACGGTTTGGCATACATCTAGGGGCCTACTGATGTTCTCTGAGGGAGTGGAGGATGGTGTACATCATCTTTGAGCTCTCCCTCTGCTTTGTCTCAGCTTTCTGGTATCTCCCAGAAAAAAGATTTTACCCTCAGAATTGCATAAGTTAATTCCTTAATTTTGATAGGTAGATAGATGATAGTTATACATATGTATACACATACACATACACATACACATACACATACACATACACATATACATATACATATACATATACATATACATATACATAAAAAATTATACTTCCTACAGATTACGTTTCTCTGGTAGAATCTTGGGTAATACAGTTGGTAGGACAAACAGGCCTATGATGTTTCATTTTGGAAATTGTCTTATCTCTCCTCAGTGCCATGGTAGCCAAAGCCAACAGCTTTATAGCTAATGAAATGGCCTGACCTATTCTGAGCTTTTGTAAAAGCATCCTACCCAGGGCACATACTTGATTTTTTCCAACTTTTCAATAATGGATAGAACAAACAGGAAATCAGCAAGAAAATACAAAATTAGGACAACACTACAAGTAAAGTAGACATAACGGCTATCTACAGAACACTATCCAACAGCAGCAGAATACCTATTCTTCTCCATGCATTTGAATATTTTCCAAGATAGACCATATGTGAGGTCAAGAAAATCTAAGTAAACTAAAAAGGATTGGAATCATACAAATTATGTTCTCTGAATACAATGAAATTGAATTTAAAAGTCAATAATAGAAGTACATAAGAAAAATACAATAATGTGGAAATTAAAGAACACACCTCCTAAATAACAAAAGCATAAAAAGAAACTCTCATGGGAAATTAGAAAATACTTTGAGATGAATGGAAATAAAAACATGGCATACAAAAATTTGTAAGAAACATTGAAAACAGTATTTAGAAATTTATAAGTGTAAATATTTTAATTAGAAAAGAATGATTTAAAATCAGTAATCTAGCATTCCCTCATAAGATATTGAAAGAAAAGAATTCTAAAGATAAAGCAAACAGAAGGAAAGAAATAATAAAGATTATAGCAGAAATAATAAAACAGAATAGAGAGTATCAATAAAACAAAATTTGTTTCTTTGAAAAGATCAACATTGGTAAATTTTAATTATTAACCAGAAAATTTCCCACAAAAAGACATCTGAGTTCAAATGTGTTCACTGGTCAATTCCACTAAATTTTCAAACAACTAATACAGTGCATCACAAACTCTTCCAAAAAATATGAGTAGGAAATACTTCCTGAATCATTCAATGATACATGATACTAAAAAAACCCAAAGACATTTCAAGAAAGAAAAATTTGAGATTATCCCTCACAAATGTAGACATAAAAATCCTAAAGAAATCTATAGACTAATAACCCTTATGAATATTAATTTTTAAAAACCAACAAAATACGAATAAACTGGATTCTAGAGCATATTAAGAACACTATTACCAAGTAGGATTTATTTCTGAAATGCAAGGATGTTTCAAAATACAAAAATAAATCAATGTCATATACCAAAATAGCAGAATGAAAGGGAGAAAAACCCTACCACATAATCATGTTAAATGAAGCATAAAAAGCACTTGACAAAATTCTACATTGTTTAACGATAAAAACACTCAATAGAAGTAGAAGAAATACAATAAAGGCCATCAATAAAAAGCACAGTGTTGAAATAATATTCAGTGATGAATGACTGAAAGCTTTTCCTCTTTAGGAACAAGACAAAGATATCAGCTTTCATTTTTTTTATTCAACACACTATTGGAAGTCTTAGTTGTTAGAGCAATAGGCACCTAAAGAAACAATATACATTTAAATTACAATAAAAGGAGTAAAATTATCTGCATTCATAGTCACCATAATCTTATATATATTAAAAAGCCTAAAGTTACACACACACACACACACACACAGCCATTAGAATTAATAACTTCAGCTAAATTTTAGAATACAAAATCAACACATAAAAATCAGTTGCACTTCTATATATTAGAAATGAAATATCCTAAAAGGAAATTAAGTAAATAATTCCAATTTCCATAATATCAAAAAGAAAAATTTATATTAAAATTGATTAAAGAGCTGAAAAACTTGTGTAGTAAACCCCACAAAATGTTGCGAAAGGAAATTAAAGAAGGCAAAGAAATGGAAGACATCCCTTTATTATGGGTTGAAAGCTGGGAGAAGGGCGATGGGGGTTGTGGAGGAGGGTATGCAGGGAATAAATGATGAATGCAAGAGGATTGACTTGGGGTGGTGAACACACAATACAGTGTACAGATGATGTGTTGTGGAATTGTGCACTTGAAACACATATAATTTTGTTAGCTAGTGTCACCCCAAAATTTTAATAAAACAAAAAAAGAATAAATATTAAGATGACAATCTTACCCAAAGTTATCTATAGCATCAATGCAAAACTTATCAAAATTTTAACAATGTGTTTTGCAGAAATGGAAAATCCATCCTAAAATTCATATGAAATCTCAAGGGTCCTCAAATACTACAAAACAGAGATAGAACTTAGAGGTCTCACATGTCCTGATTTCAAAACTTACTGCAAAAGCTCTAGTATTCAAAACAATGTGACACTGACATGAAGACAGATATATAGACCAATGGAATAAAATTCAGATTCTGGAAATAAAACATTGCTTCTATGGCCCAATAATTTCTGAGAAGGGTGCCAAAATCATTTAATGGGAAAGGACAATCTTTTAACTACTGGTATTAAGAAAATTGGATATCCATGTGCCCAAAGAATGAAGCTGACCCTTACTTTATATGACATACAACAGTAACTCGATAAGGATTAGATACCTAAAATTAAGAGTTAAATTATAAAACTCTTAGAATAAAATATAGAGGAAAAGCTTTTTGACACTGGATTTGGCATTCACTTATTGAATACAATGCCAAAAGCACAGGCAAGAGATGAAAATATAGATCAAAATTTTAACAAACTGGAAGATGGCAGCAGAATAAGTTAAAGCAATATACACCTGCTCCCACTTATTCCCGGCACCAATCCTGAGATACAGCTAAAACAGAGCAATTAACCTGAATTAACAACAGAAAGACACCTGAACAGGAGTATTATATCCAAGGATTGAAAAATAGAAGCTACACAGAGACTGGCAAGAGGGGTGGAGGCAACGAAAGGGCTGGTCCCTGCACCCAGGGCCAATGGCTTTAGCTGAAGAAATAATGCAGCTGCAAAAACTCCCCCAAAGGAAAGTGGGGGTCTCAATCCCAT